GTCTTTTGGTAGAGTTTTTTGGCTCTTCTATATAAAGTATCCTATCATCAGCAAATAATGACAGTTTAACTTCTTCCTTTCCCATCTTTATCCTTTTATTTCTTTCTCTTTTCTAATTGCTGTGGCGAATGTTTCCAGAACTATATTGAACAAGAGTGCTGATAGTGGGCATCCTTGTCTTGTTCCTGATTTTAACGTGAAAGTTTTCAGGTTTTGATCATTTATTATGATGTTGGCTGTTGGTTTTTCATAGATAGCCTTAATCAGTTTGAGATAAAGACCTTCTATTCCAATTTTCTGTAGGGTTTTTACCATGAATGGGTGCTGGATTTTCTTGAATGTCTTTTCTCCATCTATTGAGATGATCACGTGGTTTTGTCCTTGACTCTGTTAATATAGTGTATTACATTTATTGATTTATGAATGCTGAGGCATCCTTGCATCCCTGGGATAAATCCGACTTGGTCAGGGCATATGATCTTCTTGATGAGCCTCTGTATTCTGTTTTCCAGTATCTTGTTGAGAATTTTTGCATCTATGTTCATTAGGGACATTGGCCTGTAGTTCTCTTTTTTGGGTTGATCTTTCCCTGGTTTTGGAATCAAAGTCACACTTGCTTCCAGGAATGAATTTGGAAGCCTTGCTTCCCTTTCAATTTTCTTGATGAATTTAAAAAGTAATGGCACTAGTTCTTTAAATGTCTTGTATAATTCAGCAGTGAAGCCATCAGGACCTGGGCTTTTCTTTGTTGGTAAATATTTTATTATGTTTTCAATTTCCCTCATCATAATTGGGGTGTTTAGAATTTCTATATCTTTTTCATTTAACTTTGGCTATTCATATGTATCTAGGAATCTGTCCATTTCTTCTGTGTTTTCCATTTTATTAGAGTACAGGTTCTTGAAGTAGGTATAGATGATCCTCTGGATTTCTCCTGGTTCTGTTGTGACTTCCTCTTTTTCGTTCTTAATTGCATGGATTTGAGCCTTTTCGTTCCTTTTTTTTGATAAGGTTGGCTAAAGTTTTATTGCTTTTATTTATTCTTTCAAAAAACCAACTCTTTGATTCATTAATTTTTTGTATCATTCTCTTAGTCTCCATTGCATTGATTTCTGCTCGGATCTTTATAATTTCCTCTCTTGTGTGAGCTTTGTGTTTGTTATTCTCTTCTTTTTCTAGGAGTTTGAGGTTCTGCATTAGGTT